TGTGATAAATGACCAGCAAATTAGTTACACTGTCTTGCAGCTACAATCCTTCACAAATCTTCTTTTCAAAGTGCTGACAGAGCATAAAAATGCTATGGAATGGTGTTGCAATCATCACAGCTAAACTAAACCATAGGTTAATGCTCACGGCTTGCATCCATCTTACTTTATCTTGCGGCTTAGTGTAATGTATTAAGATTGCATCTATCAGGGAGCTTCACCTGATCATGTTGTTCCACGTCCCGGTGATGCATCATATCACATGGACCCATGTGCATGCAGAAGCTTCGTGCATTCTTATTTTGCTTTCGAGGGAATTCCTAAACATAAGCCATTACACCGCTTTTGTTTGCGGTAGCCAACCTTCTGAAGAAGCTCTGGTTCTTCAACCATGAGCTCCTTGTGAACTCTTTGGCTGTGATAAGCTTCGAACACAAGGAACAAGGTCATCATGAGGCACCTAGAAGTTGAAGGGAAACTGCAAGAGAATGCAGTGCGTTCCATCCTGCGTTCATGTCGACATTGGCATTGGCCGTCGACATCTCGTGATGCTCTGTCGTTATCATCACAGCCAGGGGGGTCAACTACAGGGACAGCGACCTGATCCAAGATCTGGCTGGCTGCTCGTCTTGGATGCCTCCCCCAACTTGTGTTCCTTCGCCTCGGTGAGAACTTTAGCAGCCCAGGCGGCGAAGTGTGCCTCGTCGTGCCCGATCTGTTTGTCTTTGTAGAAGTCGAAGCACTGGAGGTTATCGGTGTGCTGGCACTTCTCGCCTTGAGGATCCCGCCACGAGCCCTTGTGCTGCATGCCGGCCCAGTCGGCCATCCAATGGTAGACGTACTGCCCCACGCCGGCGACCTCCTTCCAGCCCTTGGGATAGAACTCCATGATGCTGCTGTTCTTGTCCATGAGGAATAAATTTGTCAGCTGAGCTCCGTGGGGAGAGACCAACACATCTGTCTCGCTCATTAGCTTCACCTGTGTCAATGATCATACGCTGGTTCGCTCAGGTTGTTCGTTATTAGCTTTTAACCAGTTAGTTCACAGGACACACGCAGTGTTCACTGCAGGTTTAGTACGTCAAGTTCCACAGGATGTTTCTGTAGCATTAAATGCTGCCTCGAAACCCCTTAATTAAATATATAGTCATCGTTTAGTTTATAGGAGGGGATGAGAAGGAAGTGGGAGACTGATTACCTGCTCACAGAACGTCATGTTGTTGGCCCATGCAACCTTAATTCTGCACCCGCCCACCTTCTCACACTCCTCCCGAAAGATCCGAATGACCTCGGATTCGTTCTTGAACGATCTCGGTCCCAGTCGAAGAAGCAGCGTCATGCGAATGGCCTTCGGATCTGCGGCCTCTGCGGCAATGCCACAGTAAGCTCTTGCCTTGCACCTCATCATGTCGTACACATCGCGCCTCCTCTGCTTCTTCATCGCCCCTTCGTTGTGCCTGAACACCACCGCCTTCTCGAAGCAGGTTGGTCCGCCGCCGTACTCTTTGAAGTCCTCGATCCTAACCTCCCCGATCGCTGCCTCCGCCAGGGTCTGCACCCATCTGCCCATTCGAGTCCTGAGCTCGCCCCAGTGGAACAGCACCCAGCGATCAGGAACCACGCATTGCTTCCTCTGGTGCCATGACACGAACGGCACCATAGCTGAGACCCCGTGCCACAGGTTGCTGTAATCGTAGTGGGTATCAGAAACGAAGGTTAGGCCGGCAAGGAGTGTGGCATTGCGTGGAAGCGCCTCCGGCCAAGCTAAAGCATACGAGTTCCTGGCTCCATCAGAGACGTCGCGGGCTGACAGGCATAACAGCCTCCCGTTTGACGACTCGGATGGGAAGTAAAGGTGCTGGGTGTCGTCGTCCTCGAAGGTATCGTTAATGGAGCTCATGAACCAAGTGTGGCCTGACATCGGCTGCTTGGAGAACCTTACATCCTTGAGTGGGAGGAAGGTGACCAACTCGCGGAGTCTGGAGCGGGCGAGGTTGAGCTCCTCCATTGCATGGCACGGCGGCTTGTTCCCGTGCAGTGCTTTCGGGAATAAAGCCCACGACAGAGAAGAGGAGGCGATGGATGATCTGAGCGTTTCGATCTGGAGGAGGAGGAGGAGGAGGAGGGTGATGAAGGTGGTGACGAAGCATAGGGAGCGCTTGGTGGAGTGAGCAGGGAGGGAGGAGGTTCTCTGATTGGAGAAGGACTTGGGATTGTGGTCTTGGGCTTTGCCAGAGGAAGCCATGGTGCACATCAAGGTAGGCACAATGAGATGGGAAGCGTAGCTGCTTTATATGATCTGTGGAGATTCCCAATACATATCTTTATCAAGTTGAACGTGAGAGACTCGTAGTATCTGCATGAAATCAGGATCTGAATGCACTGAAGCTTCAAGTTGCGAAAAGGAGATGGCTTCAAAGTTGGGTGGAGTAAGGGATGGAAAAGTCATGACATCTGTCGCTCTTGGGTGGCCAACAACGTAAAAAGAAAACTTCATGTGAGCATAGGACATAGAAGAAGAGAAGACAACCCAACTAAAAGCAAGCCTGTTAGGTTGCATAGCATGAAGTATAGCATCTACATCCCCCTTATATGACAGTGGAATCAGATCTGTCACTGCTGGTCTCTTATGTTGACAATATTTCAACCTTTTGACAAAGTAATGCCATTCTAAAATTTGATGCATTTAGAAGTGTTGGATCTTTGGGTTTAGTAGGATAAGTTTGGGATAAAATGATACCACTGAACTCATAGCTTTGTACAATAATCTGCAGATTGTCCTATTTTGGAGGCCATCAGGTTGCTTCTGTTGACAAGTTATTACTATATATTACACTGTGGATCACCGAGAGAAGAAATCTTCGATCTCAACCAACATAGTTGACCGTATATACAGGTATTGTTATGCTAAGTAGATCTTTCAAGATCAAATAGTTGTGTATTCTGATCATGAGATTATATTTCCCGTACTAAATAGTCAACTGCGCAGACTATGAGAAGCAAATTACACTTCTTCTACATGGGAGTTTTGAGTCCGTAAAGCATCAACCTAAGCCGAAGTGTGAATGAAGTATGGTTTCTTTTCTGCCACTTCTCTTCTTCTTCTCTCCTCTCTCCTCTCTCTCAATGCCAGTGTTCTCTGACCATCTTCCACATAATGTGTCATGAGGTTTCGGTGCAAATATGGGCTTCAGGAACATCTTCCATATAGTGTAGCCAGGATTGTTTTGACCAGTTGATCTTCTTCAGCATGGCTTCCCCATTGTCAACGGTTCCACACAACATGAGCTAGTCTTCCACAGGCAGTCGCCATCAGAGGGACTGGAAGAAGTGGACCTCATCCTTTTCAAGGTGCAAGTTGCTCTTTGAGGCCTGGGAATCTCGGCAGATGTATGACAACTGGTTTCTTATGTTCGTGAATTCAGAGATGTCAGCCTGCAACTTGTTCATGCGAGACAAGAAGGGATGCAAGTTTTGACTTCTGCAGCATGTACTTCCAAGGTTTGCGACTTGTATCTTCCTTTTCCTCTATCTCTAAACATTTTTATTGGTTCATGCATCTACGGTAGCAATCGTGCCAAAGATACAGCATGGAGATTACAAGAGAAAAGAGCTTCATCTTTTATGTGGGCGTCAATGGAGTTTGATACGACGGGTGGCTTAGGATAACAGCAAATGGATTGAGGAAAATGAGAGACATAAAAAAGACTGCTCGTGTAGCTCATGGCAAAACAGTGACAGGATATGGTGTGGTGGAGTCGATTGCGCAATAATATCTCAAGAATTTATGAGCCATCTATAACGATAGAATAGGACGAGAGTTCCTTTTCACTCGATCAAATCTTCCTTCAATGCGTACGTTCAATAGAATAAAGAAGTGTTTAAGGCATGAGTGATTGAATATTTATTGCAATCATTATGTGTTATGACTACTTTGGGGGGTGGCATTCTTGATCCGAACCCAATCGAATCAACTTGATTGGAAATGTTGGGTTCACAGGACAGTTTCAAATCGAGAAATCTCGATTCACCAGCAGGTCAGGTTATGGTTCGGTCATTGATGGTGTTAGGACTTATGTTGGTGAGAGACTTCTGATAATTGATCAATCGGATTAGGTTCGGATTCGACCCATGCTAAGAGCTATTATGATTTTATTCGAGATGTCAGAGGTCATCCAAAGAATGTGACTTATAAAAATATCGGCATTCGATGGGTTCCGATAAGATCATTTTGACACCCAAATTAGAATCTCAAATTTTAAGTGACGAGAGAAATATCAAATCTCGATATTCATGTTGGTATTCGTCTTTCATAGTCAATTATTCTTAACCACTAGTGGCGAGGAAAATATTACCCTCATCTGAAATGTGGTCCAACTTTTTATTTTTTTTTATGATTTAGATGTCATGTGTCAAAGTCGAGACAAAAATTACAGAGATATTCAACACAATCTTATCCAACCCTATTATAAAAATAAATTAAAACTCATCACTAAAAAAATATTTCATTCCTTGATATTTTTATCATTATTGTACTCTTTATATTTATACAGAAGGTGTTAAAACTCAATAAAACAGGTCAATGTAACATGTTGTTGGTACGCTCAGTATGTCATGATATGTAATTTTATTTTGATCGAGCATATTGATCATGATTGGATATATAATAGTCAATGCATTGAAGGGTGAGAATATTCAAAGAATTTAGGCTTTTAAAACCTTCATTTAAATTTCAATCAGATTAGGTATCAATAAGTCACAGTCAGTAAAAATTAACCATAGTATTTATTTTGTTTTTTACCTAAATTTATCCGAAATATATAAGTAAAGAATGCTCGAAACATATTCAAATGGATCGGATAGACGTCTTCCGATTGTTTACCGTTCCTTGTAACTGCCGACAGAAACCACATTGACGTCAGCAAATCCAACAACTTTTATTTATTTTATTGAATCCACTTAATATTTTATATGCAATAAAAAAAAAAAGAAATAGATTGTTTTAGCAAAATTCACACTTCATTTCTTTTTCGTTTGGTTGATCACATCAAACGTGGCATTATATATTACACTGGTCTTATATGTACGTTCGTGATGAAGCCACGTCACCTATATTTGGATAGTCCTTTTCGTCCGTGTAGTGTATTGAGTGAAACGGAAAATATCAAAACTTGATGAGCTCGACTCGGTCAGACTCGGCCGGCGAGTGCGGCAGCGGATGACTCGTCGTCGTCGCCGCGGCCCCCGAGGCAGTTGAACGGCGTCCTCACGGCCGCGAACTTGCCGCTCGAGGAGCATTCCCCTACCCCCTTCTTCACCGACTCATCGCCCCCGTCCGCTCTCCTCGCCGTCGCCCACGCTGGAACCTTCATCGAGAGGGTCCGGATGAAGAACGACGGCCACCGGTCCGACCTCCCCAGACGTACGCTCCTCCCGCCGCAGCTGCTCCCTTCTCCTGTACCTCCGCCGCCGATGCCGGTGCCGCGGTACCCTCGCCGGGAACTCCCCTCGTCGGCGGTCGGGAGAGCGTCCCAGCTCGTCGACCGGTGGAGCTCCCGAGCAGCGAAGATCTCCTTCCGCACGTGCTCCGGAAGCCGAAGGGTGTACCGGTCCACGTAATCCCCGGGCAGAGCCACCGAATGCCCGGTCGAGTGTGAACGGGGTAGCTTCGGCGGCCGACGCCACGATCGCGACCCCACCTCCCGCCTCGACCTCTCTATCTGGGCCAATTCCGCCTTTTTGTCTTCCCCAGCCGACTGGTCAACGACTATCGTCGCTTGACCCGCCGGCGATGGCGGCGTCGGCAGCGCCTCCACCTCCCGCCCCTGGGGCGACGGAACGGGGGCCTCGAGTGCCGGGAAGACCACGGGCGGGGGTTCGTCGTCAGCTGCTTCGGCGAGGTTGGAGCGGCACACGGGGCAAGTGACGTGAGAGGTGAGCCAGGTGTCGATGCAGTCCGGGTGGAAGGCGTGGCTGCATCGGGGAAGCAGCCGGAGGGCGTCGTCGTCCTCGAACTCGCTAAGGCACACCGCGCACTGCAGCGCGCCCTTCCCGAGCTTGAGCCCCTTCACCTCCGAGTACACCAAAGTCGGGAACGTCTCGATCACCTTCGGACTCAGCCCCCTCTGCTGCTGCTGCTGCTGCCACGGCAGCATCCGCGACCGGGCGGCCGCACCAGCCACGGGTCCACGAGGGTCGGCGCCGGCGCAGTGGCGGATGTAGATGGAGATGAACCCCACGAGGAAGAAGGCGCTCACGAGGAACACGATCACGATGGCTGTGGTCGGGTTGAAGCTGGGCGCCCCGAAGTAAGGGTTGTAGTTATCTGAGGGCGGCGCGGAGGGCTGGGCGTGGGCGCACCGGGCGCTGAGCAGAAGCAGCGTAAGCGGGAGAACGACGAAGCCGGCGTACGCCATCGTAGTAAGACGGCGGTCGAGTCGAACAGGGGCGAAGTGAGAACGGCGTCGGTGGGGGTGCGGGCGCGAGTAGGATTTTGAAGGGGGCGGGGAAAGCGCCCGGAAGCTTCCGATGCACGTGAAACGCACGCGCATGCCGATATGAAACAGAGCATGTGTGACGTACAGGGAGGGTAAGCATCAAGGTGGGTGGCCACGAGTGACGCAAGTCGCTCACGTGGAAGCCGAGGACAGTACCAGCTCAGCTGTCTCGATCGGTGCGCCCATGATGTGGCCCGCCTCAGTTGACAGGAGGCGGCATAGAGGCTGGACATGGCTGGGACTGTTGCGGTGAGAGGTGGGCGGCCACCATCCTTCTCCTTGTCTCGGATTCAATTGGACACTCTTGCAATTGATTACGTCAATTTAATCCTTCAAGTCAAGTTTTAAGGTTATAGTTCAGACATAATATATATAATTGGATTCTTTTGATATGATGCTATTATATATATATATATATATATATATATCTAATACATGTAAGTATTTTTAATAGATGGATAAATAATATACATCTTTATGTGAAATATTAAAAAAGAAAAAGAGAGATGGTAGGTGGTTGCAATCTCATCTTCATGTGTTGCATATGTATCATACTAAATTTATCAAAGATTGAAAGTTTAGATCTCATTTGACATATTAAATATTTTGATTAACGTGATTGATAAAGACCTTAATAGATTATTATAATATTCTAAACTTAAATTTTATTTTTATAATTTATTTTTTTATAAAAGAAAATCTTATCCCCATGTGAGGTGTGTGATGCAAAATACAAAATATAATGCAATAATCAAGTCATATCGGAGGAAAAAGAAAGAGAATGAGAATTATTTTATCATCGATTTTGTTTATTTTTTATTTATAATTTGTTTAATTTATTCTATTATAGAAAAATAAGATGTCCCTTGTATCAACCGAATATATCTTCTATTAGTAAATTCAGTCTATCTTGCTCTTTCATGAATATTTTTCTCAAATAATTGAGGGGCTTATGATATTGTGTCTTCGTATCATATCGTGTCATTGTTTTCGATTATTTTTAGTTTTTTAAATATATTATTTGCTCACATTTGGTTTTATTTTTTCCAACACTCGGAAGATTCTACTGTAAGGATGATTGATACAATATAAGAAAGCTAGAATATTTATTTATACACACAATATTGAGATTGAATCGTTTGATGGTCCATGAACGTACTATGGATGATGCTACATCTCATTCTGAGTGCTTGAAACTTCCAAACGACGAAGACAGCGGATGGAGAGCGGGACTTACATTGTGATCCAAGTCACGAATGGTGGTGGGGTGGTTAAGGGGGAAAGGGTGATGTAGCCCTCTCCATGTTTTGAGACCATGGCGAATGGGATAGTTACAAGAGGGTAGATAGATAGATAGATGATACCGATGATGTTGTAGTCCACAGTCCGTGACTTCATTACTTCTTCGTGTTGTTGGCTGATGGCTCGTTGATGTGCAACTTTTGAAGCCTTGTGTTCATAAATATAAATACGAAGGGCGTCGCTCAATGGATAAAAGTTACTCTTGGGATAATAGGTTGATCTTCCCCAAGAGTTCACATCGACGGGAAGGTTTGGCACCTCGATGTCGGCTCTTCGTCACTTGGAGCTGTAGTATGTTTCAAGAGTTGGGCTGTTCGTCCATTAAAGCGGATTAGGAATAGGCGTAATCGGACCTGCTTTTGACATATCTATCGGTATTTGGGTACCATATTCACTTCTTTTTGGGGCTTCTATTGAGTCGAGAAATAGGTTTGATTGTACATCTTTTATATATATATAATGTATCCTCCGGATAATTAAAATCGAAGCAATTTGATGTCTGACTCGGGCGGGTTCTCTGCCCCTACGGGGATGGAGCGACAGAAGTATTAAGAATCCAAGATAAGGTCATGGTGAGATGAGCCATTTATCATTACGATATGTGTTAAGTGGAAGTGCAGTGATGTATGCAGCTGAGGCATCCTAACAGACCGAGAGATTTGAACCTTGTTCCTACACGACCTGATCAATTCGATCAGGCACTCGCCATCTATTTTCATTGTTCAACTCGGAATGCTATCAAGATATCAGTATCTTTGACTTAGTAGTAAGGAGTATAAGAAGTCAATTTGTAATCTAACACTAGCTTTAAATCCAACACTTGCTTTAGTCTCTATTGGTGGCAACATAAGTCCCTCCCTACAACTCATGAATTAAGAATTATAATGACAAGGTCTACTCGATATAGATTATGCACGAATGAAACCTTTGATCATACAAAATGGATATGATCTATTCTAAATTTTGAAATATAAATGAAGATTTTTTTAGGTTATCCATAATATGAATTAAAGTCCTGAGACTTTCTACACCAAAAATATTCTCTTAAACGAAGGTATTCGTGCTTGGATGGCGGCTCACGAAGCAATAAGTTGGTTATTAGTTTATTTTATTTTTCTTTTTATTTTTTATTTATTTTCTTCGAGACAGTGCCCAAATCATTACACCTTTCGTGCGGGTCGGAACTTACCCATTTTCCAATTCGATCCGAGCCATTCGCTCGTAGAGCTATTTACTTGTTCGCAAACATTTTTGCAACACCTCTAACAAAAAAAAAAGAGGAGGTAGAACAAATAAAGATTTCTTTTTAGATTCATCTCTGGTACACCGATGAGGGTTTGTCTTGTGATTCACTCCGTGGTTCGTGCATGCAACGCATGCGCACGTACATTGACGAGCAGCATATACAGATGAGAATTCTTCTTCGTTCAATATCGAGAATGAACAATAGAACATGACATGTTTGGCAACACAAAGATGTGAGATTCTTAGTATTAATTTGGGAGCTCATGTGAATTGATACTTAAGGTGGCTTCGACAACCAAAGAGCGGTGAGTAGATCACATAGTGATCGTTTATGCATGAAAAAAAAGTTTAATATCTAATTTTTTTTTACATATATTACATCTTTTGGGAATCATTTATAATTAAAATATTATTTTTTTTGATATATTTGTGGTTTGAATTTAATTTGAACCCAACTATGAAGTTCGACGTCAAGAAGTAAGGATCTACGAATAACCCTACAAAATTGTTCTTAGGCTAGTAAGAACTCGAAAGATTTGAAAATAATCAAAGTACTATTGTATTATTCTAAGATAAAATATTTTATAGTAATTTAAATTATTAATGTGAGAGTTGAGTATATAAAATTACTGACCATTATTGAATTGTAAAATCGAACGTCTGAATTGTTAGACATTGCTATTAAAAGGGTTAACAGTTAATTTTAATATCATTAGTCATAACTACATCATAGATGTAGGTTTGTGTTAGCGATTGATGTGTCAAGTTGACTAGACGTCCAAAGTGACATCGATTCAACATTTATATGTGCATAATCTATTATTATGTCAATGTCATGAGATATTTGAAAACACATGACGTGACATTGAGTTGCCTATATATCAGACCTACTTAAACAACTAAAATTTAGCTATAAAATTATGTAATTTGGATATTTCAATTAAAACTCATTCCGATACTATTTGCCATACAATGAGTCCGATCATTGATTCCATGCTTAAACCTAAGACGATAATAGTAAACCTACTTAATCCTCATAAAATTAAAATAGAATCTTCCATCACTTCTAGACTAAGTTAGAATGTCACATAAAACACAATTAATTTCTTGATCCGTCCAAAAATAAAGAATACTCTGATAAGGTAGGGAGTGGTGTATGAGAGACGGTCAAACAAAATGTAGCTTATTTATACATCAATATGAGCCCAAACCACAGCCTCATGCAATTGGGCTCAGCCTGTTACAAACATTTCCCCTAAGAGAATCGAAGTACATATATGTATTAAATGAACGCAAGTAATCGAATCACAATATGTCACATCGAAATCTTATCTATTTTTTTGGGATATAGATCTTTATTTCGAATCTATTAACATTATTGGTAATGGCACCCTCTATAATTATGGGAAGAATTAATCATAATATGGAAGGATAAAAGTTGGTCATATTAGGTAAGTAATGTTTCTTTGTATAGGAACTGATATTATTATCGATCATAATTATTTTAGTTATTATTATTATTACTTAAAGGATAAATGATAAAAATAAGATTCGAGTACAGGACTTTATGATTAACTATCAAGGTCTTTATCAGCTAAATTAACTGATACGCTTCGAACATATATATATTTTTTATAATATGATAAAATAAACTTGAGCTACAGAAAAAATTTTATCGATAACTTTTCTCCGATATCTTTATTATACTGTATAGTCAAGCTCGAAAATTATTGGATATGTGGCTTACTCCGAGTTCTCGTTGGATGGTTCCGTCGATCATTAAAGAACATAAAAAGAAAAATGGTGGTGAAAAGAGCTACCCACGTCTATATTTGGTCCTTCGCAACGAAAGCTTGTGTGCCATATATCGGCCAACAACGTCCATCAAATCCACTTTGCTATCTATCAAACGAAATGGACAATCCACACTGCTCGGCCTTTTCGAGCACACACGTATCCGTCTCCACACTCACATGCAACGCCAACATCCGCAGTGCAGGCGAAAGCTTGCAATAAGATTCGACGTGCCTCCTCCTCGTCTCCGGTAGCGTCCACGATTGCACTGAGCTGCGTCTGTGGCGGATGAATTATTGGCAACTTGGCAGGCCGCCTCCAAATTCTCCGCTTGTCTTTGCCTGCATGTAGATGCCATGAGCTGCTCATTGCCAGCTTTGTTTGCATTGTTGTCACCCAAACATCCACATCGTTGTCCTCAGATCCTGTTGATATATTTATTTGTTTGTCATTACGAGAACCGGATCCTAAGACTCCTGATTGTACTAGATTTCTCAAAATCAATTCCTTTGATTTTGATGCAGTAAAGTTCACAGAATGATAATTAAAGTCCTTTCAGAGGAGCAATTACTCATGTATGTAAAAATTGATCTGTAGAAATGGCACCATCGATCCCTTTCTTCAGCAGTGTAATAGATCATAATTGCATTAGTTTGTCTTCCACTCTTCCAATCTGAATACTTCTGAGTGTCCCTATATCCAATTTTATTATTATTTTTCTAATAAAATAACCAATGTACAAATCCATTATCGATCCGAAGATATGACAAATTTATGTACTCGTAAGGATGTCCACTCTTATCTTAGTATTTGTTATTTTATATTTTGATTATCTTATACTTGATAGCCGATTTGGGTTTGGTTTCCAAACTTATCACAAGCTAGATATGAAATAGAAAAAAAAAGATTCGACAAATGATTATACAAAAATGAAGTTAGGATGTATCGCATAATAAATCATCCGATATTTAAATTAACGAAGATTCGAAAATCCAAAAGTAGAAACATATGAGCCTTTTAGGCTGATTATATGGTGCACCATATAGTGAGTTTGGGTAAATCCTAAATTTAGTTTATCCATATAAATCCTTGATTGTTGTTAACCTTTTTCTTTTTTTTTCTTGGTAGTGTGGACCTAAATGCTTCAAAGAAATCTACAATGAAGGGAAGTACAGAAAAGGAAAAAGGCAAAGAACTTTTTGTTGAAGGTAGACTCTTCCTGTTGAGTGTCAGGTCTCTTTCTATGTAGCTTAAATCAATCACTCCATGGATTGGATTCTGGTTTTTATCGATCGGATACATACACAGGACCAATGTATGGGGATTCTCTTTGACTTTTTGGTGGATGCGATTGCATTATAAATCTAAGTTCATGCATATTCTTGACGCTGTGAATTCTTTTATTTATTGATGCTTCTTGGATCTTCTACTTATATAAAATGCAGTGGCTATTCATATTATCCTTTTTTTTTCAGACTAAATGGTAAAAGAATAATGGGTGAGTGTTGAATGAATTGAGTGCTGCATAACATTTTTCTGTGATGCTTTACATGTACACCACAGAGGTGAATCCCTGCAATCCACTGTGGATATGAAGAGTCTGTGTTGTCACGATAGGAAGGGGTGTCATACAAGAAGAGACAAAGCTTTGATCTGCCTCCTGCTGCTCTGATAATAACATGACAGCTTCAATATTCCACACCCACATGGGTCTTCAGGGCTTCCCCATGACCAAGGTACGTATGATCAAATCATCATTGAGCTTTTGTTCTTCTTCTTCTTCTTCATCTTGCTCATAGAAGAATACATAACATCATCTATAGGTTGATACATGAGCAAATGAAATCACTTGCATGCATGTCAAGATGAATCGGCAATGGCAGATCTCATGGAAGGGGAGAGACTGTTCCTTTCTACACACAAGTCATTTGGTAAAGGTAACGATGACATGTTGCTGCAGCTTCAACACCAAAAACTCTTCGAGTCCTTTGAGACCCCACTTTGCGTTCTTCCCATAATCTGACATCCAATTGTTTCAGCATCGTAAAGCCTGAGATGCATCTTTGGATTTGGCTATAAGATTTCATGAGTTGCAGCCTCAGAAACATAACATAGAGAATGAACCATGGATTTTGCATTGTTCTAACAACTCTAAAAACACTTTGTTTCAGAATCTACTCCAACTCATAGCATCCATCATTTTGGGCTATGGCAGAGCAGTAGGAGCACTTTCACAGCTGCCTATCTCTTGATCACAGATACGTCCTCCTCTAGCTTGTCAGGTGATCATACAGCGAAAGAATCATAATTTCTTGCAGACAGCACATGAGCAGACGATGCAGAAATATCACAGCAGAGCTGATGAAAGTGAAATGCAAACCAATCTCTTTCTAGCCTGCGACCAAGGATAGCCAGATGAGATGATTTGATGCATATTGGTCCACCCATTTGTCGCATAGAATCCCCACACCAAGTCTCCATTTCTGGGACTCACTGAGATGAACACCCCCATGAACAGGATCCACAAGCAGCGTGGAATTACTTGTCAGACAACCACATCTTGGAATAATTGCTTGATACCCAACACACACCCCCACTTCAGTGTCAGTAATATAATATCGCTTGAGACAGAAGCCAGAAGCCAGAAGCCAGAAGCCTGATTGGAATCTTGTCTGATGGAATCGATTGAAGACATCTCTGCATTCTTGGGCATGATTAAGTTTGACAGTGTAGTGAACACAATGATCATGCTCCCCTGTTGTTCAAGGTGAATCTTCTCGGAGAAATGCTATGTGCTATGTTCCAGTAATCAAAGTGTCAACAGTGAACTACAAAGTTAGAGCTGACCTTCCGATCTCCTCTGACGCCCGAGAGCAGAAACCCCTATACTATGATGTTTTGTACTATCCCGCATTTGATTCCCTCCTCCGTGATCCAAACTCCCAAGCAACGTAGAAGGACTGACAGAACATGAAACAGTAGATCTGATACATTGCGTCGAAAGAAATTTGATGAAATGTATGATCTGAGAGTGGCAGAAATCTAGGAAAAATATCAGATCAGGCTTTATGGCAGATGAGATTGCAGTGGGACAAAGGTGGGCATGGTGATCACATGGCTCCTTGGCCCCAGCAAGAACCATGCTGCCTCACACTTGGCTGTCACTCCCAAGTCTCGATATCAAGGCATGCAGAGCATCTGAGCTCCTGTTGCATGCTACCTCTTTTTCATGGCAGCCTTTTCCCTCACCCTTTCCTCTCATCTTTGGCCATGGCATACTTATAATACATGTTCGTAATAGCCCTCTCCCACCACCTTAACACAAACAAAGGAACACTCTAGCCCAACTCACCACCATGTTACTTGTTACTTGCGCTTCTTGGCCTCATATGGCAACCTTGTCTTGTTGTTTTGCTTGCGCTGAGGCCTTTAAGACTCCCCTAAGCAGCTTCTTCCTCTCCCCCACGCAAGAAAAGCGAGTTTGGTCTTCATGTGTTTGTTTATGTCTGAGGTTTCCTTGGAGTGGGTGTCCGTAGATAGCTAATTTACAGAAAGAAAATGGCGCTGGAAGCTGCGGTGTTCCAACACGGCTTCGCCATGAAGGAGATTCACAACATGGGAGGTGCAGCATGGCGCTATGACTTTGGTGCTGGTCCGTTGCAAGAGGAGGAGAAGAGAGTCCTGATAGAGTGCGAGATAGGTGGTGGTGGCGGCGGCGAAGGTCGGGAGGTGGTTGATGGAAAGCGTGGGTGTAATTGGGACACTTGTTGCTCCACCATAGCGCAAAACCCCGACGATTGGGATGTGAAACCATCGTCGCCGGCGCCGAAGAAGACCGGGGAGGAACTCGGCGCGGCTGCTGTTTTCCAAGAGGCGGTGGCAGGCCGGCGGAAGAGGCGGCGGGTTAAGAGATTCAAGAACAAGGAAGAGGTGGAGAACCAGAGGATGACTCACATTGCGGTGGAGCGCAACCGGCGGAAGCTGATGAACGAGTACCTCGCGGTGCTCCGGTCGCTCATGCCGGCCTCCTACGCCCAAAGGGTTCGTCTTCCTTCTCTCTTCATCCTTATAAGCTTCCGCATCTTGCACCATATGGTTCCATCCCTACTGAAGCTTCTCTCAAACCTCATATTCTCCCACTCTGCAGTGATTCGAGTGCTTACTTCCACTCATATCAGCTTTTGGTTTCCTTATATTCGATATATGTACCACTTTTTCCTCGTAATCTCATCAGATGACATGTTGCTGCCTTGCTGGTTTGTAGTCTTCACTCTGAAGACACTAATGGCAGTGAGTAAGAACAGTGACAGCTTTGTGTCCAACATGGTGAAGATTCTAGTTGTCATGCATCAGTTATCAGTACAGTAAAAAGTTGCACCATCTTCTCCCACATGTTTCCACATCTATAGCCTAAAATCAACTCAATAACTATAGTTGAATCCTTTCTTGGAACTTGGAACTATGACATCCTCACTTTCTTGAGAGAAATAGGCATATTGGATTACAACCTGCAGTCTCTAGTCCTTTCAATTCACTCTACCTGGACAGGGTGATCAAGCTTCCATAGTTGGAGGTGCCATAAACTTCGTTAAAGAGCTCGAACACCTGGTCCAATCTCTCGAGGCTCGGAAGCGGATCAGAGGAAGATCTCAGGCAGCTCCTTTTGCTGACTTCTTCACCTTCCCTCAGTACTCCTCAAGCCCCTCAAGCACTGCCAGCGATGGCAGCACCGGCGACGCGGTGGCGGACATCGAGGTCACCATCTTTGAGAGCCATGCCAACATCAAGATCTTCTCGAGGTGGCGACCCAGGCAGCTGCTGGAGTTGGTGCTGGGATTGCAAGGCCTGCGGCTGACGACGCTACACCTCAACGTGACCACCGTCGACGAAATGGTTCTCTACTGCTTCAGTCTCAAGGTATGATGAGCCAGCCACGCCAGTCTCTTGACTCCATTCTCCTCTCTCGACGCCATGAATTGCGAGTCAACGTTGTTGCTGTTGGTGCAGGTTGAAGATGATTGCCAGTGTACATCGGTGGATGTGATTGCCACAGCAGTCCACCAAATAATTGTAAGTGTCGAGGCGGAGGCTGCTCAAAACTAATCCTATGATATCATAATTGTATGCGCTATTAGATTGCTGTTTGCTGCTTAATGAAATGGCTTTGCGTGAGAGAAACTGTATCACTTCGTGAGTCTTTTAATGCATTGTTAGACGAAGGGGATCTAACGTCTGCCGCATTAAAGCGTAACTGATATGAGCTGAGTTCATTAGGAAAAGGCACAGAGGGATGTCTGCCATAGATTTCTCATAGAACAACGTCCGATTTCATGTTGGGATGGATCAAAGACCCGCGATTTCCTCCGAGATTGTAGGAAAAATTGTCACATTTCGGGCACGATTAGAGCAAGTGGGTGATCTATGACCTACATTCAACTATGAACACCTGTGGATGTCATTACCTAATGCTTCAGACGAGAATGTCTTGGAATGCAAAAACAATTATGTTTTCTGAATTCAGTATGGACAGAGCATCTCTGGAGATCCCACAAGATGCGATGAAGCATTTCTTTACGTCCTCCACAATGTTATTTTCCTTGTGGTCCAATGAAGAGAGTTGAATGATCCATCGGCATCTTTGAATCGTAGTGTCGTTTCCCTTCGGATAAGAAGAAAGAAAGAGAAGGAAGGAAGAAGAAAGCATTCAGGATATTAGTACATCATCTTCCCGAGATTGTAGCTTCTAAAACTTCTCTTGTAGTGATCGTAGAGAGGACGCCACCATAATTTAATTATATGTCAGAATTATCAATGGCATGCTTGAAAGATGAGATTAGTCAAACAGATGAGACAACGATTGTAATATGGCTGGATTAGTCAATGATTTGGGAGAGATATTGTGCATGAATTCAACAAGCAAGAAGGCCATTTTATATTGTTCCGGTCTCGAAGAACTCTTCCTGAGAACAGTCAAGTGTTCTCATTGGACTCGAATTCTGAAGGAAACCCACACAAACTTTGGGAGAAATATGACAATGCTTGATGTCTGATGGATCAGACCAATCTAACATTGAACAATGAAGGCCAAGTAGAAGGTAGAAAAGAAGAACATATATGAATTTAAGTTCTGCCCTCTTCAATCTAAAGAAAGAATAGGGCAAAGAAGCAAAGCTTTAACTGTATTCCACCAACAAAAGCTTCCTTCGGAAAAGGGAATTCTAAGTTCCGAAACTTGCACCGTTGAAGACAACATTGTCCAGAAAGGCAAAAGCTTTCAATGATTAGCAAAACAAGATTAAAACGGCATTGTCAAGCAGCGGATCGACATAACTATTGGAGGATTGTCCTGCCATTTGTGCTTCTTCTCTGAGACAAGCATGCAGGTTGTTGATGAACAGAGATCTATGAATCCACAAGGGACCACTTACCGATCATCCGTAGGCTCATAGAGTGTGTAGAATACTGCAGCAAAAGGTGTTCCTAAAGCCTGTAGACATGCACATTTCCAGGAAATGTTTCAGGGTCCCCCTCGAACAGTACAACACAGTATGATTGAAAGTGGTGATGCCCCATATGTCACTGCAAATGACACTGAAGCAGCTTACAGAAGAAAACAACAAGTAGATGGATCCGAAAGTCAAGCACCATTGCAGGTATTGAGTGTGCAAACATGTGGAAGAAGCATCAGCTAGTTGAAGATCACTGTAGACTCCATTATTGAAGTGTTTGATGGTCATGCAAGCTACTTGAGATCATGGATTGATCCGTAAAGCGACTCCATCCACCTTTCCTCTGGAACGAGTTAATTCTACTATAGTAACTATACATCAACAACAAATTAGTATCATGTATGCCACTCGCAAGAATCGATCTAGAAAATTACCTGCATCTAACAAGGCAATACTCCATAAACAAGAAGCAGCTGTGTTAACCATGGATAGACACAACACAAATGTTTTCTTTTCATTCTATGAGATGGCTTCAACCATTGCCTTGCATCTTACATGCATGACAGGTTGAAAAGAAGAGAAGTGAAACTAATGAAGTACAAAAGAAACATCGTTTGTAACCCTGTTTAGAGTGTTGTCCAAATCCCTCGGAAGCAATCAAGCCACCAAGTTAGAGCCCAAGAAGGAGCATCTTGAACTTGGGTCTATACACATGCATATAAAAGATTGGGGGATGTGGTCATTTTCTATTATCTATATAGTTATTATATTATATATAATATATTTATTAATTATAAATATATGATTATGATTGTGTTTATATATATATAAGTATTATTTATTATTATTATTTATAAATTTTAGGATTATTAATTAGTTTTGATAATAATCTTAATTTATAATAGAATAAATTAATTAGAAAAATAGGTACAGTATTCCATATGCAACAAATGGTTCCAAAAGTCTACCCTTTGGCACATAAAATTCAACACTGTGATGTCACTTGTGGACGTCCATATTTCATGTAGATATCTTCCATTCAAGTCCATATTAGTCTCTCGTAATGGTCCATTATTTCATGTAGAGGAACATGCATTATTATATTTCCCCAAGTCCGTGTCTCATTTTTCCTCTGTTACCACTCGTTGGTAAACGACACTTTCAAGGAAATTAAGGTGACAACACCTTCTGTACGATCCACGGTGGAGACGTGCAGTGATAACCCACCTCTACTTTAATTCAATCTTCATGGATGATGGGAAATGATTTCCAACCCACTTTGCGTGTATCTTTAACATCACTCGTTTTGGTATATAGATCTTTCCTAGCATCCTAATTGCTTGAATGTTGTCAGCTAGGACGGTAGGACGGCCATATCGGCGAGGACGTGGCGTTTGAAGAGGTCATTGACCATGTCAACATGATAGAGTGTTTGCCGATATGAATGTAACGTACAATTCTCTTTATGCAACGTTAGGTGGTCGAAGTTGCATGGACATTGCTGATGCAAATTTTCCCACGTGATCAAATTGATTAACGTGTAAAAAAAGAAACAATTTTGGGCGATTTCCATTTCCCAATCTCCAATTTTTCAAACTTAAGACTATCCTCATCAACAAAATCAAATGTAAAATTAAGAATTCATAAATTAAATCTAAATTAATTCCTAAATCCTTGATGGGGGTCTTAAGATTCGTGGCATATCTCTTATCAAAGTTTTCATTGGGGATAGACGTATCTTTCCCATCCTCGATAAGAGCAACGTCTTTTATGTCAAGTTTGGATTAATTTTATCTTTCACCTAAAAAATTATTCAACACCCCTATCAAAGTGGTCAATCTTTTTCGATATCAATATTATTGACCAACCTTCTTTTGTATCCAATTTCATCATAGATAATGACTGGTATTTTTCTATTAATGACTAAAATCCATATCTCTATAGGTCCAAGAACTTATGGATTTGGACCCACAGCTATCCGAAAATGTTATCTCGAAAAGTCTATATTTTTTTTGAATTGCTATTTTGGACTAGTGTGTATGTGGCTTAATTGTTGATTAGGATTTATCTTCCTATTATCAATTGTACTTTTACATCTTTAGTTATGATTGTCATGAATATTTCTCAACTAATTAAAGTTGTTTTTAGTGTTTTTAGTCGCTAAATAAAAAATATTATGTCCAATGAGACATAATCCCATTTGGTCATTGCTAAATAATCCTTTTCTTATATTTTGGTAATTTAATCCAACATGACCAGTCTCAATTTGGTGTCTTTTTATTATTATTCATTGACCATCTTCGGAATCCTCCAAGTCCTAATTCTATCTGGAAGAAATGCGATAAGCTCCAATGAACTGGCAATCTGTGACAAATTGACGTTTACTAGAGTTTGATTAGGTCAACATTTGTTGCATGCAGTCGACCGCATGCAAAACTTGGAAGCTACGCCATCTCATCCTCACATTAATATATTGGTTGGGATTCACAGGAAATAAGCATCCATAGACCAAAGCCATGGCTCATGCTCTCGTTTCTTGTCGTCTCTCCTCAGCCTATCCCTTCCATTCCATCTCTCGCGGAAGGGTCGCTCTTCCTCGTCAGCTCATAGCATCCTCCTCGTCCTCTCGCACACATCGGCTTTCCGCTGCTCGAGCAATGGCCTCATCCAACACCAGCGGCGGAAGCTTCGGGAAAGCTGAGCGCTCAAAGTACGATCTTCGTTTAAAGATAGCTTAGATGATTTTGTGTTATGATCGTGAGTGGGTGATGAGTGCCCTGATTCCATGCAGAGGCTGGAGAAATGCTGCTGCAGGTGCAGTTGGATCGTCTGGTTCTGGGTTTCCCATATCGAACATCCCCGTATGGTATGAGATAAGTGCACACAGTTCATCTGCTCTCTTCCTTTCTTCCTTCTCATTGTGTTTGATGTCTGAAGGGCCAGATGGGTGTTGGGTTCCCTCGTCATCGCTGCCATACCCTTCTACACGAGAATAATTAAGAAAGGAGGTACTGAAACAACTTGCTCTTCCCAACTGGCCATGCAAATCCAAGCTTGGGTTATGCTTAGCTTGTGTTTGATGCAACAGGTGGCATAGAGAAGGTCGCAGAAGTTGCTCTAGAAACAGTGGAGAAGGTGGCGGAGGTGACGGAGAAGATAGCGTCTGATGTTGCCGCTGCACTTCCTGAAGGTGATAGTCTTAAGGCGAAGGCGTTGCTGATCGAGAAGATCGCCGAGAAAGTAGAACACGACGCAAAACTAGCTGAATCCATCATTCATGAGGTCGATATCCCCTCTTGTTGTAGAACTGTTTCTTTTCTTTCACAAGATCATGCCGTGTTCGATTAGCTTTTACTGCAAGGAAGCAACAGCGTGGTTGCTTAAAGTCAACTCTCTGCCATTAAAAGATTTGATGACCAAAAAGTATTTGACTTTGTATAATCATCTTCCTTTTACATCCATCTTATAATGTTTCTAGGGATGGAACTCATACTATGTATTCTGACCATTTTGGATTTGAAGTAGGATTAACAAGTCTCTACAACACTGTCCAAAATCTGCAGGTTGATGTCGTAAAGGAAGAAGTAGACACATTGGTCAAGCCACTACTTGAGAAAGAACAGTCGGAGAAAGAGATCCAAGTGGAGGAAAATGAAAGCACAGATCAGTCAAAAGCCAATTGAAGAAGCCATGGATAAGGATCTGCATGACAGATGAAACAGAGGAAGTGCTGCTGCTTAATCTACATTGTTTGTATCTGTTTGTATGAGTAATTACAATTTGTTATACCAATTGGTGAAATGATTCATATTCGATCAGAAGAGAAACACTTTTACAAGCTAATAAATTCAATTATTTGATTGCGTGAAGATGAAAGTTCATATCGGGCATTTGCCTTCGATCCAAGAGAATATAACGTAGTTTGACCCAAGAAACTCTCTCTCTCTCTCTCTCTCATCGGCTTCCTCTCACAAACGCGTGTTTGTTGATTAGTCTTAAAGAAAGAGTCTAATGACAATTTACGCGTGTGGACCACTTGACGTATGGCCCACCGACAGGCCTCACGCCTAAGATTTTGGAAGAGCCACGTAGGATGAGGAAACTGTTGGGAAGCATCGTTGGTATGTATGCGTGGGGCCCCGGAATTGAAAAGCTGGATCCTGTGTGGAATTAGACAGCTGATCTGGTAGTTATTTGGTGCAAGAGATTACAGGTACTGCGTGGCTGTGAGATTTGCTGCTCCTCTCCTCTGCGATCATGGCGAGTCATCTTCTCCGACTCCTTTCCTCTTCACAACCCTCATGTGATCCAAACCATAATGTAATCGAAGGAAATTTAACTTGAAGTCATCTTCCAAAGCAATCCAAGAAGATCAACAGGATATGGATTTGGCTCGTTCACATCCAAAGATGCAGCAGAAGCTGCAATACTACTAAGATCGCCTTCTTGCACACGGCGGCTGTGCCAAACCTGCACGAAAATTCAAGACATGATATGGGTTTCAGATGATAAATCCTTTCCTGTACCAGCTTTATGATGCTTGAGCTTGCTTCGTCTCGGGACATTCCACGCGTTACATTCTACAGAAAGTGGTGATATCACAAGAGGACGATGATCGAATGTGACTTGAATTCGGTATGCATCTTTGTACTCAGATCTACAGCAAAGGAAGAAACAGGTTCATGAGCAGGGGATGACTCCGATCTTAACTATGTTTTCCTGGATCCCGGTTGGGCCAACACAGATGAGAACCACACGGCTGTTTACTATTTATTTTAGGCCGTCCTTTTGCATTTTATTAGGTGACATGACATGCTATTTTGCATGATATTAGTAACAACACACTATGCCCGAATCTCGCAGAAAAAGAGAAGGGATTGCTCAGATATCAAATATGATGCTCGAATATTTTCTTTTTCTCTTTATTGGGACGATCCATTTCCTTCCTCCTATTTCATGTTAAGAGATAGTTTATTACCAGAGATGGAAAGAGAGAGAATTTAGAATCGTCTAATATTAGTAAGGATTTAAAGAATCGAATTTTATAATATTAGATTTGGTTCATTAAATTTTTGGGTTAAACTTTCATGGTAAATTGAAATTCGACTCGTCTTTAAATATGAGAGTAAAATGATAGACTTTATCACGAGTGTGTATTATAATTAAAATTATCTTAAAGCTCATAACTCAAAAGTTATTAATAAAATATATTGACATGTAAAGTACGAGAATCATTAATTATACCCGAGCCCATAACTAAAACAAACCATCAATTATAATGATTAGATTAGTATGCAATAATAAATTTTTAAATAAAAAATATTATATTAAATTAGTCATCAATTCAAAAAATAATATTAAGATTCTCTAGGGAATGCCAAAGACGAAAAAGACCAAGGATTATATAAAGATTGCTGAGCCTAGGAGCTATTATATTAAGAAATCTATATTATGATAAGTCGAATGTCCCATACGATTATATAGAGTTTTTGAGGCATCGATGAGAGGTTTAATTGAGTTAACGAGTCGAAAAAAATTCTAATAAACCCAAAGATGGTGTAGGTTGTGAAGTGGGCTTATTTGAGCTCTTACAACATTGCATAGCCTTTTATCATGAGAGGAGATGAAGCTTAGCAAAAAAAATTCATTTTCAAGTAGAATATCACCATTTCAATCCTTAATCACATACCCTTCTCCTTAGGCGTTCAACAAGACACATATCATTTGTATTAGTAACAATCAAATTGAATTTCAACATCATTATGTTAATAATAGGAAAAACTTATTGAAACAATGCTCGTAAAAACAATATATCATTTCGATTGATAATGAAACTCGTAATCAAATTGATAATCTGATGTCCGATTACTTATTTAACCAAGTTTTAGGCCCTAATTGTGAAAACATTTATTGCTATAAGTATCAATTCCTAAAGTCCCATCACAAGAAAATTATTTTATGATCCACAACTAAGCATTTGATCCCCTTGGTTCTTTATTTTTTCTATGTTCTATTTTTACATTTATTCCTTTATATTTAACTTTAAAGTAAATTAGAAACTTACACATTGTAATCAGTATCCGTATAACATTGTAGTTAATAATAATCATTCATTAATTATTAACATAATGATGTTGAAATTCAATTTGATATTTAAATTCCTTTTTAAAATGTCGGAAAATAGTAGTAGAAAAAATTGGATGTTCACGGTAGTGATATGTACGAAAGATTTAAATATTTAAATAAATATATATATATATATATGCCAATTTTGAGATATTAAATTTAAAGCGGAAAAATTGCTATATTTAATATGTAAACTCCCTTTCTTTTCTCTATGCTAATAACAATAGGAACTCAACCTATCACAACTAATATCCTATCAAAACACATTAGTGGGACGGTTCAAAGACTAATGGTAGCTGTAAAGAATCTTTGACAGCCATGCAAAGCTAAGTAGATGTGGTCGCCCACTTGGGCGGCATGGAGTCCTTCCTAAGCTATTCCCTTCCCAATGCCGTCTCAATAAACAAGCAAAGCGTAGTGCTATACTGGAGAAGGTGTTCCTACTCCTACTCACTCCACCTAAACCACTTCGCTTTATATACCCAACCCCGACGCCTCCCTTCTGCTGCGTCCACTCCCTTTCGATCTCTCGGACGAAGCCCAGAATGGCCGGGTGCAGCACCTCCGCAGCTCTGGGAGTCCTCCTCCTCTTCTGTTGCTCGACATGGGCCGCGGCCACCGACTACACCGTGGGAGATTCCACGGGTTGGACCAGCGGGTTCGATTACTCCAAGTGGACGACCGGGAAAACCTTCGTCACCGGCGACACCCTCAGTAAGCTTTCCTTCCCCACGTCTGTATTTGTATGTACTCTACATGTTCGACGAGGTTTCAACAGTATCATGGCGACTGCAGCGTTCAACTATATCGCCGGATCACACACCGTAGACCAAGTGAGCGCCACCGACTACAGCTCTTGCTCTGCCAGCAACGCCCTCAGCACCGACAGCAACGGGCAGACGACGGTCACGCTCTCCAAGGCAGGCACGTACTACTTCATCTGCGGGGTCACCGGCCACTGCAGCAACGGGATGAAGGTGGCGGTCCCCGTCACGGCATCCTCCACCAGCTCGCCCTCCCCTCCATCCAGCTCCACCATCACCCCGCCCTCCGCCGGCACCACGCCGTCCACCACTACCCCGTCCACCAATAAATCCAGCCCCAGAACTGTCTCCCTGCCTTACGTGGTGACGCTAACTGGGCTGATGCTGCTCAAACTGCTGCTCCTCTAGGCTTGGCCAGGGTGGAGACAGTGCTCTTGCTCATGATCCTCTGTTTCTCGTTGATTCGGTAGTAGATAATTTGCACTGTGAGTTGGGAGCTTCATTATGGTGGTCATTGTTGTATCATCTTTACTCAAAACTCTATGCGAGTGTATGTGTGGAGTTGTTCTGTTCTTTTTTTGCATGGTTGTCGTGCTCGCTTTGTTGCTTTGTTGAGAGGAGCAGATTTGGTGGCAATCTGAAAACATGGAAATGAAAATTGAGGAGTGATCGATTTGATTTATGTGGCGAAGCTGGCAACGAAACTGAAGAAGGATGAAAGCAGTTGGAGTGGGTGAGAAAGGAGTCAGTGAGACACTATCACTGAAGAACATGAGCTGCTTTCCCCAACAAAAACAGGGACCCGATCTTAGTATATAGCCTCTGGTGGCATTTTCAGAGAAGAAGAAAGCAAACAAAAGAAAAGAAATAAGATAGAACATAAAATTAATCCAGAAAAGATGACATCAAAATCAACATTGAGTTCGCTATTACCTTGCAAAGTTATAGGCAACAACTGGAATTGCTCGAGTGCTGAGAGGCAACAAATTCAAGGGAAGCTTTCCCATGAGGAAGTGTGCAAATGCACTAAAAATGATGTATTCACAAGAATTGTGCTTAAAGAAGAATAGACAGACAAAGTAGATAGAATGGCATCATCCATCAGATAGCTGCCTTTCCTTTGTGTTGTTGACCATTAAACACCTTGCTCTGTTCCCAAGCTATTCTCTCTCTCTCTCTCTCTCTCTCTCTCCATGCCATTGTGTGGACATCCGATTAATGTGACAGACCAACAAATTACCAACTCTACTCCAAGAAAGGAGCAAGTCCTCCGGACGCAGTGACAAAACTCGTCACATCCATGGTTAAACCACATAGCTGAAATTGTCAACCAGTAGTTGGCGGCAGAAATGGAGGTGGTTGGCCTACTACGTTTGACGGTATCAGGATTAAGAGGAGACCGATGACCAAACCTACTACATCAGAGCAGACTCTTTTGACAGTATCAGGATTAAGAGGAGACAGATAACTAAACCTACTTCATCATAGCAGACCCTCTCTCTCTCTCTCTCTCTTTAGGTGGGGGGAGAAAAATGCAGTCATTCTACTCATCAAAGGATCTATATGTTCTAATATCTCTCATTCTCTCCACATCCAGTCAAGTCATGCTTTCACTGCACACACAGAAACCTTATTGCACATTGGAAAAGAAAGAAGAGATATATTTGTTTTATCATATAATATTAATGTGATTTATATAGCAATGTTGAATTTTCCTTTAGTAATTAATAGAATTTGATGCCTATTGAATGTCTTCGACTTCCACTTCCAACTAGTGTGCCTCCTAATGGTAATTTGACTCATAAATTCCTCCTATAACTCAAAAGAAATGCCTTGATCCATCTAATTTGGGCTGATAAGTGTCTTGGCTATGAGATTAGGCCCATCAGATAGTAGTTTTATCCACATAGTGATTGGATTACTACATGAAGGCTTTATGAAAGATTAG